GGGCGACCTCGCGAGCCTCGGGCCCCTGTCCACCCTGAGCGCTGCCCGGGGCTCCTGCTGACCCTTCCCGGGACGGGCAGGAGCCAGGCTCCACCTTTGTTGCTGCTAACACCGCAGGTGGGTGTTCCTAGCTGCAGTGCGCCGCTTGCACTTCCCCACCTGGGTAACCAAATTTTAAAGTAGTCAGAGAGACATATTGAGGTAGTTACAGAAAATTATTTTTGTTTGCCATTATTTTTCTCACTTGACAAAACTATATGGGGTTGTTTTTCATTTAGCTTGTCAAGTCCTTGCTTTTTGATCGATCTCACCCCACGCTCTGTGTTTCTCCTGAGTGCGAAGTGGAGGCTCCCATTTCGAGCGTCCTGGAGGTCCGCCCGCCTCACCCCGCAGGACAGACCCCGGAGACTTCTCCGGCGCAGGGGCAGCGCCTCAGGCACTCTCCCCGCCGTGGGGCTCGCGGGGCGCCAGTGCTAGCCCAGTTGGAGAGTTCCAGTTTCTTTTTCCAGTCCACAAGCCCAACGGCTTTGACCAACTTTTTTACTGTGTCATCTCTATGCTTTCTAGGTGGAAAGGGAAAATCCCCCAAAACCGGGAACTTAGGTCCCAGTGGGCCCCTAGAAACATTCCCTGAGTGCCAGCTGCCTTACCTGCTGCTGCTGAGGGGGACAGGGCTGGCCCATGTGCACGTGGTGTTGTCCTAGGGGCCTGTGCCGTGAGGGAGGAGTCAAAGCTTTTGTTTTTTCAAAGTTGGCCACTATTTCTCCCAGTTACAGGAGAGCCCCTGCTAGCTTGGTATGGAGTGTGCTGTGCTGTCCCTCGGATAGGCTGTGCCCTCCTCAGTGCTGGAGTCCTTCCTAGAGTCCTACTCTCCTACTGTGGTGGGCAGTGCCGGGCACAGGTCTCAGCAGGGCAGCGTAGCTCGACCCCTACCAAGGGGGCTCCAGGCTGAGCCCCCTGCAGCCTTGCCAGCCCCCTTCGAGGGCTGTGAACTTTGTATCTTTCCTCCTGCTTTTTAAACACCTTTTCTAAACAGTCTTTCTTATAAAATGCATTTGGAAACCAGACCTTTGCTACCAGTGTCTCTGGATTTTGTACCAGTCCCCAGCGTCTCAGGTGTCCTGCCCCGGACCTGGCTTACTTCCCCAAGGCACCTTGCCTCCGACTCAGGGTGTCGTGCTCTTTCCGACTGCTCCCTGTGGACCACCTCTGCTGGCCTTTCCCGGGCTTCCCACGGAGGCACTTCCTCCAGACCAGTCCTGTATCGGAAACTGAGGGTCCCAAATCTTGATCCCACCTCCCGAGTGTTTGCTGTGTGGCAGGTTTGTTGTTCCCATCAGTTTGCAAATTGAAGTGTGGAATTTCAAGACCCAGATGAACACATCCATCTCTCAGGAGGCACGGAGGGAAGACACATATAAAGGTTTTTTTGTTTTGTTTTACGTGACTGATTTTTTTAGAATCAATGTTCAAATAAATATTTTTTTATGAAGAGGAAAAAATGTGTAGATTACATTTCACATTTTGTATTTTGTTTGTATTTTGGTGTTTGCAACACCAAAGTGGAAAACAGTCGTGGGGGTGTTACTGAGGGGCAGGGAAGCTGTCTGATTTTTGTACTATGTTCTGGCTCCTGACCAGGTTGTATATTTGGACTCTGTGGGTTTTGGGAAACAGGACATTGCCAGGACTCAACAGGGACCTGACTCAAAATGACACAGCTATGCTTCCAACTTTGCACATCTTCCTTTTTAAAAAAGAAAACTGAGAAAATGCAAAAACTGGAACTTTTTGCAATATTATGAAAGATAATCTTACTTTGGCTCCTTCTGTGACGTGCAGCTCTTAAGAAAGCCATACTCAATGGTGATTGTCTTTTATTTTTTAGACCCTATGTTGTGTTTTGTATGCAGCCCTTTTAGAACCACTTGTAGTGAGGGTGCTGTGTGTGGGCTTTTCTTAAATATTTATTTTTTCAACATGCTTTCAACCTGTCAACAAAAACAGAATCGACAAAAAAGGGCAGTGTTTGAAGACTGTTGATCTTTTCTGAGGATAATCTATATTATACTGACTTTATATTATTATAAACCTGTGTTTGTATCGAAGATGTGTTCATATTTGGGGAGGAGGTTTTTTGTAATCAGTCAGTGGGAAATCACAGCTCTGTTGTCCTGCTTTGCTGTAGCCCAGGACAGGTCAAGATTACCTTCTCTTCTCTCGTGGGTCTCGCAGTTTCTTGTCTGCCTAGGTGTGCTCGCGGCCTGCCTGTGGGTTTCCTTTCTGTGACGGGATTAGCGTAGACATTCTTGCAAAGCGATCACTTTCAATAAATTGGGAAGTTGCTGCTCCAAGCAGGTGCCTCCTGTGTGTTTCAGATAGCACTCTCTCTCCTGGCCTCACCGTGGGCAGAGGTGGCCAGGTTACCCTGAGGCCCTGTGGCTTTTTAATGGCCTCCTACCACCCCTGCCCAAACAAATCCCATTACTTCCCCCTAAGAGGCAGACTCAGCTTCTGGAAAAACCCCAAATGTTTAATTCTTCTCACCTGGTAAGGCCCAGACGTGAGACACCTGAGCTTCACAAACATGGTAAAATGTCAGCCCCAGGGCCCTTGAACCATCACATTAAATGTGTGGGTGCAAGAGTTCTCTCCCTGACACCCCTCAAAGTGCATCTCAGACCGGCCCCTACAGCTGGGCCCACTGACTTCCTTGACAGATCTGCGGGCTACCAGGGAGGGAGAGCAGTGCCCCTGGGGCCAAAGGGGCAGCGGTATGGTTTGGCTTTAGTGCAAAAAGCTGGTTTCTTCAGAGGCACTTTGAGTGGCAGGACCTCTCCCACATCTCTGGGAGTCCAGGATCAACAACTCCCGAGTCCCTGCCAAAGTAGAAAGTAAACCCTATAGCCAGAAAAGGCCTGGACCTGGAGCACTCCCAGAGTTGTCCAGCCTGGGGCTGGGGTTGGCTGGGAGCGGGGCAGCAGCACCAGAGGGTGGGCTCAGTCCAGGAACCGCTGGCAGGCTTTCTTCCAGCGACAGGCTGTGCACCACAGGTCCCGGTGGTCCATGCCATACACCTTCCGGCACTTCTTGGCATCACCACGGGGCTTCCTAGGGGGACACACAAGGGGCACAGAGGGTTGTCAGCCAGGACCTTTCTCACTGGCACCTACCTATCCAGCCCCTCCACTCACACACCTTAGATTGGCACCAAGCTTGGAAGGCAATGCTGGTGCACAGGCCTGGACCTCAGTGGCCCGCAGGTCCAGGTGGATGGGTGCCATGCAGTCCTGGGGAGAACTGCAGCCTGGGCCTCGCTCATCTCCACAGTGCCCTGAAACCTGCTCCCAGACACCACCTGTGGCCTCACCCACCTGGTAGGCGTGATCACCGTGGCACACCTGTGGGGGGGCTACAGAGCTGAGCACGGGGGGCAGGGCCATGGCCAGGGCCAGGGGCTGTAGTAGGCTGGGCAGGGCTGGGGGCTTGAGCAGCTCTGGCAGCTCCAGATGGGGGAAGGCCGGTGGCACCGAGGCTGTGGGGGACACAGGAGTCAGGCTGGACAGCCCGTCGGTCAGCGTATCCACACCAACGTCCAGCTCTGTATAGTAGAAGTCCTCCTCGCCATCGCTCTGCTCCGGCTCTGCCTGTCTCCTGCTAGGGACACAGTGACTGCGGCTGAAGCACCAGCTTGGCCTGACCCCACCCAGGCCCAGCCCTCAGCCCCGCCGCACCCCAGGTGCACCAGGCGGATGTGTCTCTGCATCCCGGAGGCTGTGCTCAGCACCTTTCCACAGCTCTTCCACAGGCACTGGAACATGACCTGGATGGAGCTCTGGGGCGACAGCGGCCTATGGTTAGCAGCAGCTGCCCTCCTCCTCCCCACCCTGGGGGCTTCCCCCAGGCTCACCTTCCTCTTCCTCAGGGTGGGCTCCCCGAACAGAAAGTGGGCTGTCTCAGGGGGCAGTGGAGGTGATGGGGTGGATGGAGAGGACTGGTCACTGGCCAGGTCCCAACCCCAGTCTCCATTGTTACTGCTGCTGCTGTAGCTGCCTGGTGGCTGCGCCAGACCCTCCTTCCAGGGCTCCAGGCCAGGCTCTGCAGGAACACGCCATCCTCAGGACCTTGGGTGGACTCTCCCTGCTCTGTGGAAACTGCTGCCTGCTGGCTGCTCTCATGCCCTAACTCTGAGCTGCTGCCTATTCTGTGAGTTTGGTGGGCAGGAAGCTTCTTGGAGGACAGCCTGGCTAAGGAGGAACGGGCCATGGGGTCTCCGGGAGAAGCCTGCCAACACAGGACAGGGGCAGGAGGTGCCTGGCATAGCCAGGAAGCAGAGTGGCTGGGACATGTGTCCAGCAAAGTGGAGGTGGACAGCTCAGGGCCTGGGGGCACTGCAGGGTTGGCCTTGGTGAGAGGCCCTGAGTGGCTGGACACTCATCCATAAGAAGGTCTCAAGAGGCATGTTTGGAAGGTGGTATGGCAGTTTTGGGGCTCTTCTTGCCCAGCAGAGCTGCTAGGTGGCTGCAGGACCTGGGGAACAGCAGTCCTGGGCCCTGCCCCTACCTGAGCACAGACTTCTGAGTCTCACCTGGGCTGAAGGCTGTAGCTGGGATGCCCAGACCGAGAGGGCTGGTGGACAGGCTTGTAAGGGCTGCAGCAGACATGACCTCGCAGACGGGGTTGTAGCTGGGATGCCCAGACCGAGAGGGCTGGTGGACAGGCTTGTAAGGGCTGCAGCAGCCATGACCTCGTCCAGACGGGCTTTTCCTGGGGGGGCTCTGGAGGAGATGGGGGCAGGGTGGGTGGGGCCCAGTGGGGCCCAGCTGGTGCTCTCCTGGCCCAGTGTATCTGTGCAGGCACCAAGCAGCCTCACTCCTGGTTGGGCGGGAGGCCTGGCTCCACCCCCTGCTCGGGTTGCAGAGCCGAGAAGCGCCAGGAACAGGGCCTGGTCTGCCCGAGGTCTGAGCCTTCTATAGCCTGGGCTTTGTTCCACCGTGGTTGCTTCGGACCCTGGTGCTGGGAAGGGGTCTGAAGCCTCACTGGTCGGGCCCAGGCTAGCTCTCCCCACAAAATACACGGTATTAACCAAGGTTTTGCAACAGTAACTGTGGGTCTAAAGCCAGGCCTAGGAGGGTGGGAGCGGCCAGCAGTCGGCAGCAGCCGGAGGAAGACCGCTCCAAGCATGGGCGGGTCCTCAGGCCCCAGCGGGCCAGAATTGAGCCCGCTCCTGCAGTGCAGCTAGCCAGAGGTGTCCCGCACCGCAGGGGTGGGAAAGTGGTGGCGGCAGCCCCAGGGATTCCTGGACAGTCAGCCCCGGGCAGACTGTAAAGTCTTCTGCAGAGAAACTGACAGCCTCCCGCTTCCAGTTCTGCTCTGCCCCGGGACACACAAATCGTTTCTGCGCAAATCCATGAGGGCTGGAGCAACCGGAGCAGAAACCTCATTCCGGACCCTGACCTGCCCTTGGAAGGTTTGGGAAGGCAGAAATCTGCGCCCCACCCGCCGCCCTTGCACACACCGATGCACGTGTGCACACACTCTAGTCCCGGGGCACCAGCACCCTGGCTCACCTCTGCGCCGGCACTGGGATTTGTGCCGATGGCGTCCGCCGCCCCGCCGCC